CAAAAAAAAAAAACCAAACCAAAAAACAACAGAGGACAGTTTACCTCATACCGGATCATAAAAAAAAGGGCCAGCATACAGAGGTCTCAGACATTCCAAGTTATCACCAACAGTGGGAGGTGAGATCAGAGTCTTATCCCTGGGTAAGGGAAACCTCACCTCCCTGATGGAACCAGATGTAATGAATGCCATAAGGAGCTCATGGGAGAATCCTATCCCTGGCCCTATCTTGCAGGTATTTCTGTGGAAAGGGAAGATACAGGCTCAATAAAAATGTGTCTTTTTCTGCTCTCATGTGGTAGCTCCCTGGGTGGTGAAGCAGGGCTAAAAATACTGACCTAACTTTCACACGTGGCCCGGTGAGAACGGAACACTCCCATTTCTGCCATTTTAACAAAGGCAGTTGACAGACTGCCAGTCATAATTCACAACCTACCCACTATATTACTGATAAAGTCATACCAGGTATGCTGTTCCCATAATGACTTTTATGAGCAAACTGTCACGAGCAGTCTTTAGTGATGAATTTGTGCAACACACATTTAAAACTATATGAAGAGATTAAATGAATGCTCAGGTTTACATGGTCATATAATTGATTTTCTGCCCTTACCTGTTGGCTGAATGTTACATTTCTTCTTCTGCTATTTTCTGGACACTGTCCTGTTACGGTATCTGGAATGGCCAAGGTCTGAGGTCTTTTCAGGATCCCCGACGACCGTGGCTTTATCGCATCCAGTGAGCCCACCCTTAGTGCCTCGCCGTCAGGCCCTGGCATTATGCCGCTCTCCCCTTGCTCCAGAACTCCATTTTCTCCTTGGTAACAGCCACCAGGCACCCGAGGAAAGCTGACACTGACAGGCTGCCTGGGCAAGCTAGCTTGAAGTGCTAAGTAACTATTGTGCCCGCCTGTAAAACAGTCTATAAGCACGCTATCAATATTTGAAGTCCCAAATGATGATGCAAACTCGTTAATTCCCGTCAAGGAATTGTCTCTGCTGACAAAACTGCCATATTTGGGCGTGAGTGGGCTGAGGGGGGAAACGGGACTCGTAAAACTTGCATATAAGTGAGCTGAGTTATGAGAAGCAAGGTTTTCATTTACACCCTCCTCAAAGAAAAGAGGTGGAGAAGGAGGGAGAGGAAGACTTGGACTCTTCATCACCTTTTTCTTCCTGCTAGAGGACCTTAAGGGTCTTTCTGGAATGCTAATTAGAGTCAGCACAGTAGTGATAGTCAGTATAACTGAGGTGAAGACATAGATGACACGAAGTTGCCCTCCCACAGCTTTTCCAAAACTGGTTTTATCCCAGTGTATTCCTCCAACAACATAACCAAAGCCACCTCCAAGACCTGGTGGAAAAACAGAGCTGAGATTATCTTCCCTAGCAATCCTGGAAGTCAGTAACAGCACAGCACCATTTGTCTGATGATTCGTGAGTAGAATCTGACGTGTTACTTCTGTTTTACTACTCAACTCCTTTTCAATTCAAATGCAGTAATAAACACAGTTATCCATGCCACAAGGACAGTCTGGATGTACAAACACAGTACAGAAAGAGGGAGAAGGTCAGTGCTGTAAAAGTGGTGATACAAATAATTAAAAATGGTAGTTCTTTCTTTGCCAAGAACAAACCATTTTACCTTCAGCTATTTCAGTCCGTAAAACAGAAGTGTCCACCAGCCTCGTGGTAAGGCTCTGCAATCAGTCAGCTAAGACTGTTTTCCTGAAAATAAGTGAAAATCCATTTTCCTCACTCAGTCAGAGGAACGCAGATCTAACTGCGTCCAAGACAGACCGAATCACTTCAGAAGCATACCAAACTCATTACTCAGCAACATGTTGACAGCATACAAAACTGCCACTGCATTACTACCAATGAACAGGGAAGCTCTGAGAGCACCAGATACCTCTCTCACTCCATTCATATGGCGAAACGCTTACAACACTATCCTTTCTTTCTTATGAACACATTCAAGAGCGTGAAAACAGTCTCCTGATGGAGAGGAAAACTAGACCAGGGCAGTACGGCAATTGAAGATGACAGCAATGAGGGACCATAGACCCCAGTATGCGCTTTCCCCTCCAACAGAGTGACTAAAACAGGCATTTTCCACACCTGCAGGAAGCCGAACCTCCTCCCTCAAGGGCTAATTTTGTTTCCGTAGGCGTTATAAATGACATGAGGGACTTTCAGATGAACAACCCAGGACTGTGTCTTGTTTGACTTTTGGTATTTACAAAAGCCTTTTACAGTAAGCAGAAGTTTGTTTTCAAAGTTAGTTAGTGCGACCTCTCCAGGTATTTGGTTATTATGCTTACACAGGAAAAGACCAGTGATTTACACTCTGCTTTCTCACAGCAGGGCTTGTTTACTTAGGGTTCATGTCACCCAGGAAGCACCAAGAAAGCATACCTGCTAACAAAGCGTGGATGTTGAGACCCCTGTCTTGATCCTCTGGGCTGCATACATCCATCATGTAGGCATGACTGGGATTGTCTGCTGAATCTGCGCTGAAGTCCATGAGGACAACACCACAGACTGTAAGAATGATTCCCCATTTGTGGTTATTCGCAGTGTCAGACAAGGCACTCCCTAGGTCTTTGCCATTCAGCATAAGCGAGAGCCCAAGCAACGCTCCTGGGAATAAAACCAAATGAAAATCAATCAATCAACTGCTTGTAAGCAAAAAAAACCCTGCACCACTCCATGCTCTAAAAGCATTACACTACCTGCACAGCCTCGTGGCAAGCACTATTGCTCTTGTTCAGATCACCACAATCTGGGGAATGAACGTGGTTTATAGGATTGTCCTGGTTTCGGCTGGGATAGGGTTAAATTTCTTGCTAGTGCTGTGTTTTGGATTTAGTATGAGGAGAATGTTGATAACACACTGATGTTTTCAGTTGTTGCTAAGTGCCCTCCTAGTCCAAGGACAGCTCCCATGTCTACTGACTGAGCTAGGTACACAAGATGGGAGGGAACATAATCAGGACAGCCAGCTCAGCTGGCTAATGGGGCATTCCATACCATGTGATGTCATGCTCAGTATATGAATGGTAGGCGTGATCCAGGAAGTACCGATTGCTACCTGGTTATCGGTCAGCGCGGACAGTGAGCAACTGCATTGTGCATCACTTATTTTGTATATTTTATCATTATCATTATTATTTTCCCTTTTCTGTTCTATTAAACTGTCTTTATCTCAACCCACGAGTTTTTCTCACTCTTACCCTTCCGATTCTCTCCCCATCCCACTGCAGGGGGTAGGAGGGGGGGAGTGAGTGAGCGGCTGCGTGGTATTTGGCTGCCTGCCAGGTTAAACCACGACAAGGATATACATGATGCTTTTCCACTGCTCAAGCTTACAAATGTCTGGAGTTGTTTTTGTCCAGAGAAAAACATTCTTGACTCTCAAAACATCATCTTTTCAGACTCTGACAAGGGAAGCTTTTATGTGTGGATCTCCGGTTGCCAAAGTATCACCTTGGCACGACTCACCACCTTCTTCAGACCCACAATACCCAACATTTCAGAGGCACTTTTTTCAGCCTAGTGCCACAGGGAACGTCACAGAATAGAGATGCGCAATGTTTCTGCTTTACAAGTGTTATGCCCGTCATTTCTAAAAGACACACCTACTGCTAAGACCAGAATGAAAGGTCTTCTCCTCCCGAATCTTGATGTGCATCTGTCACTCCAGGCTCCCAGCAAAGGCTGTAGCAAGAACCCTAGAAAAAAGGAATCACCAATAAGTAGCATTTTTCCACAAGCCTGTGTCACAGGGGAGTTAAAATAGGTAGCTTAAAAGGCAGGACACCATGGTGATATCCCCAGTCACCCGGGTGCACATGCAGCGTACTTCCTGGCATCTCCCAGCTTGGGGATTGAATAACGTAATGTGCCGCTGCTCACTGTCATGGCAGTTCACTCTGCACCATTAATACAGCAGAGTTTAACATCAAGTGAAGAGTAAGAGTACAACAGTTTTACGTTCTAAAGGACTCTGTTCCTTACAAGCTCCTTCATTTACCCCGTCTTAGATGGGAGATCCCCTGCAGAAATTAGCTTGCAAGATAGCAGGAAGCAAACATGCGAGCTGGAAAGGTGCCTGTATTACTCTGGGCCAGCCTGTGAGTAGGGGCCTATCTATTCTTCTCTTCTGAAGTACATCCTGCGAGCACAAGAACAGGCAGAACAAAGTTTCCAAGTCGTAATAGCCCATCCTATGGTTCTTCCCATAGTAATGGATACGCTCCCAGCCCTGCCTCCATGCTAAGGCAAGTAATCCAATGCCCGTAACAGTAGTGGTTGACAGTCTTTCACCATTGGAACATCTCGTTTGTTTCAGAAAGTTAAACAGGAGAAGGCAATCCCACTCTGCTTTTTTCATATACCCTTGGGAATTGTCTCTGTCTGCTTTTTTCTATAGGGACATAAATCGGAGTAACCAAAGCTTACCCTCACACATGATGTAAGAGGTTGAGAAGCTATTAAAAGAACAGACCTTTTGATCACACCGGGCCCATTTCACCAAGACACAGCAAGAATTATTCTTCATTCGGTTGTCTAAAATTATGGCTAGTGCTTCTTAACCTCGAGAGCACACAGAATATACTTGTGAACAGCTGAGGTAGAGAAAACAAAACCACGTAACCCCCGTATAGTGGAAAAAACAAGAGGGAAGAAATAGCGTAAAGAAAAGTTACCTAATATAGGGCTGATGAACCACACCATTCCATACAGTTGGTCTGGAAGCCCCATCTGAAGCAGCACGGGGGTAACATAGGCTGTTTCCATGGCATAGCTGAACTCGAGCCCAAAGAGAATGCACCCATTAAACAGGAGTTCTAGGAAAGACCTCTGAGGCTGGAGATCCCCAAAGTCACTCAAATCAATAGGACATGGAGTATTTGGTGGTGGCGGTGGGGAAGGGCGGATGTGTTTTCTCCTTTTCGGATGTCTCTTGAAGTTGTTGGCCCGATGACTTATGTGCCGTGTGACCAATCCAGAATAGCCTGGAACTTGTGACCTCCAGATTTCCTGAGAAGCCACACTTGGCAAGAGTGCAGCATCACTGACAGGGGTTGTTGCAGATGGTGGAATCATCACGGGTAGGCGTCTGGAAGAAAAATAGCTCAGAATAAAATGGTCGAGTAAGAAGAACTTTGCTTAATTTCATTTACTGAAGTTCAAGCCATTTCTCAACATTTCGCATACTGAGTGCAGCCTTCGTATTAGCTACAATCTTTTCTCTCCATCTCTTGACAGGAGGCATATACGCTTTATGGGCATATACACTTTATCTTTGCACAAATGAGACACCAGAGATCCTATCTTGGTTACCTAGGCATTGCCTACCATTACCGGGGATTAAGATTGAAATATTTAAAACAATTAGCAGTCAGACATATCACACCTCCCAGGAGTTCCCGTAACAGCAATGGGTTTACGTTTATCTGCAATTCACTCGAGCTAAATTAAGATGAATCACGACCGCAGTCTAAGTTTACAATAAAGCAAAGCTGTGGCTTGGCTACAGATCCAGACCCCTGCTGCAATGTGAAATCACCTTTCAGCACTGATCCTACCATTCCTGCTGCCTGTGCTGAGGCCAAGGCTTAATGCAAAACTTTTTTTGCAACGACTGAGTTTGGTTTTCTTCCTATTTACCTTCCCGAATTCAGCAGAGACACTCTGTTGCAAGGACAGAGTCTGATTGTCTCCTTCTTGCTGTTTCTATTTCCATAAGACTTTACCGGAGCGCCCAAATAATGTGTTTTTGAAGTTCAGGCTACACAAGCTGAACACCTGGATGAGGTCAGCTGATAACAAATGTGCTTGGAACCAGAAGTTGGTATCATTTTTCAGTGCAGGAATTGAAGTTTCAAACTAGTTCCTGAGAAGAAAATACATGCCCCACCAACCACCCTCAGCACTGCTACTCCTCTCTTGGAGATTAATGGCATTCAAGTGCTGAACAGCCTCCTTGGGTCTCATCAGAATCACTCCTAAAGCTAAAGCGCGCATACTGTGGTGGGTAAAACAGCCAAATGGGTTCCAAAATAGCATCTCAGGATAGATGCCAACAGATCTGCTGAATTAACGAACGACATGTGATTTCTTGCCTCTTGTTGCCAGAAATGGAAACAGGTCGCAAGTGAAGTCTGACCTTTTCTTTATGCTTTCTTGCCCACAGACCAAAGGCTGGGGATGCACAAGCATGGTTCCACATCACCCCATGCCTCTTCAGGAAAACCCTCACAGCTTCACGCTAGCAAGCAAAACAAATCTCTAACTTTTTTGTTTACAATTCCCCCGGGGAAAAGACTCCCAGCTGTTCTGCTACGCTGGCTGTACAGAACTCCCACAAATCTCTCATTTTCTGCTACTTCCTCCAGCGCATTTCACGCACCAGTCTTTCTTCCTCCAGCCCTCAATCTACGCAACACCATTCTTTGCTGCACATCCCCAACTATTATCCAAAGCAGAATGCCACAAACGCACGTTTACCATTACGCTGACACAACGGTTGGTAAGCATGGTGGGACGATGCCCTACACAGAACGAACCCCAGCTCCACGCAAGCATCCAAAGAAAGACTTTGCACAATGCAAAATTGAACGTCAAGCACCTCACAGAAGACTGCAGTTGGGGTAACTTGTCTGTATTTGGGGCCTGAGGGGGAGGAGGAAGGGCGGGAGAGAGAAGACATGTACTCAAGTATCGTTACCATTGTACCACAGGTTTCCTCAAGACTGCTCCTCTTCAGACCGAGGTGCATACCATGTAAGAGAGAACAAGCAATTCATAATTGTAACTACACGCCTTGACAACCCCCGTCTTACAAGGCACCAACAGCAAGCTGCATTTTGTTGGGAAAGCTCATTAGGCACAAAATCCCCTAGATAAACCAACAGAAAGAGAAGCGTATGGAGACTTCATGAAGATGCCCACACCAGTGTTCCCCTTGACATTGTTTTCACTAATTACTGAAAACTTCTTATGACCCATGTCTTTGATAACCAGAGTACTTACTTTGCAGGAGTACCTTTTTCAGCCTCCAGGGCAAAGCAATTCCCTCATGATGAGAATTTGTTAAAAATTAGGAGAGAGAGACCAGAAAAAAGATATAACGAAAATCCAATCAGATTCACGATGGATGCTCTAATGACCCTTTCACAGAAACATAACAATACAGCTCTGCTAGCGCTCCCCTTCACCACTGATATACCTCACCATTTGCACCCAGGGTGCTGATCTCTCTATATTCATGTATTAGTTTAATTTCATACTAGATCCCCCTTTATCTTCCTGCTCCGTACTGCGCATTGCAAAGAGATTGTAACGCGAGTCCTAAGTGGCAACGTTTTAGTGACAGAAGGAAAGAACCTCTCTAAGTGGCTCAAAAATACACGTGGTGATCTGCAATTACTTGGAACAAAAGGCTATTATTGACAGCCTGTCACCGGTCCAGCAGAAAGTCGGCGTAAAACTGTGAGCTGAGACTATATTCCTCATCGCCCATTTTCCTCAACTTATGAATCGTTCACCAGAGGACATCTTCAAAGGACTTAAGCCTGTCCTCAGGTGAATCTACCCAGTGATTACAACAGCTTCAAAGCAGGAAACCTCTCCTTCAGCGTGGAAAACAATTACGTGGCTATTAGCTTTTGCTGTCAATAGTTATTTGTGATTTTTGGCACTCGACCTTTGTTATACCACCAACTGCGCATGTCAGTCTGCACGGCCTTAGCAACGCTGGCTCTGCCGCCTGCTATCTGCACAGTCAAACGTGTGCGCACAGCCAACGTGCGTGGCGGGCAGCGACCAACCATCGCGGCTCCTCCTGGGCGCCTCTAAGCCGAAAATAAGTTCTTCCTTCCTTGGCAGAATCTGGTCCCGGTTTCTCTGCGGTGGGTACCGAGGGCTCCAAACACACCACACACGAAAGGCCGACCCTGACCCTGACCCGGCGCGAGGGCCGCCGCCTC